TCCACCCCCCCCGTCGGCCTGAGCCGCCCGGTGAGTCCCGCGCCCAAATGCCTGAGCCGCCGCCACCCCGGCAGGTTGCTATGGAAACCATCCTTCTCTTCCTCCCCCCTCCCGCTTCCCCGTGGGGGGCAGGGGTCCGAGAGGGAAGGGGCGCCCGCTTCCGGGGGGCTTGGACCCTGCCCGCCCCCAAAGCTTGGCGGGGCCACCCCCTCCTGCTGCTGGGGGGCGAGGGGCTCTCTGTAGCCCCCAGGGAGGGAGGCCCGGGGGGGCGGTGCGCCTCCAGCGGGGCTTTGACCCTGATCTTGAAAAAACGTTCCTGCTGGCTGTTTGCTGGTGGGTCCCATTTGTGGGTCCTCAGAAGAAATGGGGGGCCCTCTCTGTCTCCCCCCGCCCCGTTTTATCTCTGCATCAAAGAGAATGTGGGGTGGGAAGTGGCTGGTGTGTCCTGGGGGGCTTCCAAGTGAAGTTGGGGGGAAGAGCCCTGTCTGCTGGGGGTTCTGATGTGTCCTTGCTGGACACAGGCCCGTGGCTTTCGTGGGGGTTTCTTTCCACGGGCGCCTGGGTTGAACTGCAGCCCTGATGCGAGCGGCTTGGGCGAAACAGTGGACCCAGAATCCTGCGATTACAGTATAACGTTGATACCAGAGTGCCATGATGTGGCACATTTGCAGATATCCACAGCTGGTGTGCAATGTGGGCAACCTTGCAGCAGCCTCACAAGGCAAGCTGATGTTGTTCCCATATTGCAGATTTAAGAGTGGGAAAATATAGCTTTGCTTTCTGTGAGCATCAGCTTTTAGCATAGCTCAGTTCCTAGGAAGGGCGTTTAGGACTGTGCTCCTTGTGAGCTGGCAGCTGAGCTGACAGAAATCTGGGATTTCGCTGCTAGATTGTGCCAGCAGTTTTTGTAAAGGAAGAATGCCTTTCCAAATCTATTACTTTAATACCCCCCCAGCACCTTGTTTCAGTCATAAACTATATAATTTAAGCTGTTAAGAGAATGTGCCGTTGCTATAATAATGCTTCTATCCTGGTCATTTTGGTTCGCATGTTTGTAGATTATGGTCCTTGGAGCGGTGCGGGGTCTGACCAGAGTCCTAGCAGTATATTATTCTCTTCTCATAGAGGCCAATAGGAGGTTTGCAGCTCACCTTTTCTGTTCTAAGGTTAGCTGAATATATCACCTTCAGACTGCAAAGGAACAATGGAAGGCATTGCTTTCTCAAAAGATTGTACCCAGAGCCACAGGAGACTAAGCTCTGCCCTTTGACTTATGTCTGGATGGCAGTAGGAAATAAGGACAAGTGGAAAGAAGTCCCTGTCACTCCATTGTGGGGATGTTTGTCCAGATGCTATATGGTCTGATCGAGATGCTTTTTGAGTATGTGCCAGCTTGGCATTTGACTTATGATGTCGGTCCCCCGCTGCCAATTAATTCAAGAAATAACCCTCATAATTATTTGAGGTCTGTGGAACTTGTCAGTTCCAGTTATGAATATAAACAATGTATACCTGTATAGATATGAAAGGTGCATTTGCAGTTTTTTCATGCTGCTCACTTGCGTCCAACAGCACATTTTGGGAAAAAATATTGGCTTTGCTGCTGCATGTATTCTGCAAGTGTAAGTCTTTAGGGCTAACATATTGTCATGGGCATCTGTTTTCTCCACCTTCTAACTGCAGTGAAGGGTAGAAAACCTGAACAGGCATCAAGGAGTAGTCTTGGGACAGATGAGGCAGACACCCTGAAATGTAATCCAGGGAAGAAAAACATGTTACGAGTTAGGAATTTGGTATGCTGTAGAGTTGTATCCAAATATTCCTGGATGGGGATCTGGTCCTCCTCAAGAGCCAAGTGTGCAATTCAGGATTGCTCCTTAAGATATCCTCAGGGGTTCTGGAAGAGGTGCTTCTGAATGTGCAAAAGCACATATCCAGCTCTTGTCTATGGCTCACTAAACCAGTTCTGGAAAAGAATTGTGGAGAATTTTGAAGTACCGCACAGCCCCATTGCCTGTTCATTTCCAGACCCAGCTTTAGGTGCTGATGTTAAACTTTTAGGTTCCCAAATGTGCATGGATAGTGTTTAATCTTGCTTGAAGCCTTGCTCTCTACTGCATGAGCAAGAAGTCTGAGGCTGGTGAACCCCAAGCACAAGGCCTCCTTTCCAAGAGCTCTAGAAACCTATTCAGTTCCAGGGCTTTGGGAGATTTCTGGAGTTGTGTCTGATTTATTTCTGTAGGAAGATAACAGCAAACCACGTGTTAGTAAGAAAACTTGACTAGCTGAGTTCATGCAGTCACCAGGAATCAACCTAGATTCAAGGGCTTGTTTACTTTTTAACAGCTTTACCTGCTGCTACCATTTAAATTTTCGTATTTGATGTTGGCTGGTTGTTTTTTCTGTTAGCTTTTAATTAATGTTCATTGTGATGCTACTGACTTTAAACCACCTTGGAAGGATAATTTATCTTGAATAAGGTCATGTAAATAATGCCACCCTTAAAATCTCTTTCACAGAATATGGTGGGTAGAACACACAGCAGAATTCTCTGAGGGACTTCGGGAGTGTTTAATGTTTTGCTGTGTTGCTCCCACCATATTTTGTGAAAGATTTTAAGGGGAGAATGACAAAACTAGCCATGTAGAAGAATAGATATCGACATTTTCAGAAACAGATTTTAGGGTGTTTATTTTACAGTCTGAAAAAAGATTTTGTGATTTTTAGTTACTTGCCCTATATTTCTGAAATGCTGGTTGGTACATTGTATTTGTTGTGGCAGAAGTTTCACAGTCACAAGTGTGTTGCAAATCCAAGAAAACCATGTTTTAAAAATGTGCTTATAACTGAATAACTTGGATTTCCTTCAAGTATTTGGTCCTTCTGAGATCTGTGCAGCCTGACTCTCTTGGAAAAGGGACATGCTGGGGCTTGACTCTAGCAGCTTAAACGTAGCATGACCACAGACTCTTGAATTTCCCTCCTTACCCTCAGCTTAGATGACATCACTACTACTTTCCCTCCTCTGGGTTGAATAAAGTCTGCTGTTGTGGAGCTTTCGTTTTGGGACAAGCCTCCCCCCCTCCCCAAGCTTTTGGAATCATCCATTTAAGAAAGTGCATGGAGGCTACAAGGAGAGCTTATGGAGGGGAACCAAGCGCGCCTTCTTCTGAGAAAGCAAGCCTCTTATGCCACAGGCGGTCTTGCTTCCCTAGCCAGTCCTGTCTTCCCAAAGCTGAAGTCACAGGGATGTCCTTAGCTTAGAGCTTAGTGGCTGTGCCGAAACATCCGATCCTGTATGTCTTTAGCGGGGTTTCTGAGTGGAGCTGCAAGGGAGAAGGTAAGTCTTGGATTTGCGTAAGAAATATCTCTGGAATTCATGTCACATCAATATGCATCTCACAGTGACAGTGAGGCTGTGCTCCACAGTGAGAAGAATATTGCTAAGCTTTTAAAAAAGCATAAAACTGTTGTTAGCTTGAAACTTGTCAAAGGAGCTTTCAGTACCAAAAACACAAGTGCACATCTGGGTTATTTTTTGCGTCAGAATGTATCCTTCAGATATATTGGATTATGACTCAAATCACTGGAGTATAATACAGCTGTTGGAAAAGTGTGGGGTAGATAGGTAGCAGATTTTAAAAGTTGACTTTATCTTTAATTACGAACCAAAACAGTTTTCAAAAGACTAGGTGTGTTGTGACAGCAAAACAATCTTGTGGCACCTTAAATACAATACCATAGGTTAATGACTTGGTGGAGTGCAGTCTCTTTTACCGGCTGTATGAACCCGAGTTGTAGATATGAGTATGCACAAGCTTCAAAGAGCTGAAATTTTGAACAGTACGGTAGGAAGGAAATCATGTGCAGAAAATATAAAAATGATGATGAAACAGCCAAGAACACAACAACCTGGCATTGGTAGACTAAGGCTATGTAGAATTATTTTAAAAACTTTAATCTCCATTCAAGACAAAACACTAAGTACCCCTATTCAAGAATGACCGCTGTAAGTGAAGCTAGAATTTTTTCAGCACACTCTGTGAGAAATGTGATGCTAGTGCTATATGCTGATTTTTTTTTTCCTGGTGGAAAAACAGAACATTCTGCACATCCACCAGGAGAAAGCTGGACAATGTGGGCTTTTAAGTATGTGGTATTACAAATATTGATAAGTCCCTTCTATAAGCAATGTCCAGAAGTGATTAAATGGCTAACATAAGCTATTTACAATTCTCAGCAAGCTGTGTTCTTAACAGTCTTAGGTTGGATACCAAGACAAGAGCCACGCACTGGCCTCCTCGATGTTATGCTCTTTAATGGCATGGAATTATGCTGCTCTGTGTGGCTTTTCTCATTAATTCTGCTAAAGAGTCATCCAGCCAATAGCTTTTTATGCATAAACGACAGAGCTGTGCGTGCCATAGTTGCTGGGTTGTAGGGTTCTTTCCTAGTGGTACGTGTTTCTTTTTGTGTATAGGTAAGAATCTCTGATTTGGCCTACGAAATGTTGGGATTTAGTATTATGTGAGGGTCCCACAGAAAACTGAATGAAGCCATCAGCAGTTTGTAGCCCTGAATGTGTTTGGATCGAAAATCTGTTATTAGTCATTGGCATATGGCAATATGGAATGATTTTGCTTTGATTTCCTTTCCTGTTTGGGGGAGACCTTTTCCATTAAGTTTTTTTCCTTTAAAAATGTTTGTAACATGGCAGCAAATCAACTTCCTCTTGTATATAAATTTATTACTATTTTATTAGTAATAATGGGTTATTAGTATAATGGTTTTTTTTCTGGGCAAAGAATGTCCACATACAGTACATTTGTTTTCAGATTCTGTTTTCTACATAGAACATATACAATAGGCACTTCCAGAAAATCCTAAAGTAAGAGAACTTTAGAATAGGGCTGGACAGCTTTGTTCCTAGAGCCCACAGGATTGTGACATCTCTTCTCCTGCATTGCAATAGTTTTTGCAGTTTGCCTTTGGAGAATTATTTTTTTCACTGTATAGTTCTTCTTCTGAGATTGACACTTTTGGAAGCATGCAGGTGTGTTGGGGAAGTCATACTCTGGTGCCCCATATTTACCTTTGGGTGCTTAACGATGGAGGTAGCTTTGATAAGGAATACTGAGTAGCCTCCCTGCCCTTCAGTAAATAACAGTATCATTTGTATTGGTTGGTTCTCCTAGCTTTTAGGCAGAATTGAAGTGGTGTCCTTCGAGCCATTTTGAAAAACCATGTCAGGTACAGTGGGACAGAAGAAGGGCCCCAGGAGGCAGCGCAAGTGTGGCTTCTGCCGGTCCAGTAAAGAAGATGAATGTGGGCAGCTGTTGCTCTCTGAAAACCAGAAGGTGGCAGCCCATCATAAATGTATGGTGAGTCCTACAAGCTTGGTCTGGGGGGGGCAGGCCAGGTGGCTGCAGAGGAGAACTGGCGTGGGGGGGAAGAAAGCGGTCTGTAATTCTTCTTCCTTGCTTATCCTTCTTCTCTCAAAGCCCCCCATGACTACTTTTAGCCTTTCCTAACTGGGATTTAGCCTACCTGGCTTTAATGTGACTAACCTCTGTTGAGCTCATATGTCTGACTCCTGAGTAAACACCTGCCTAAGAGCAGACAGCACATTGTGCCCGTTAAATTGGAGCATGAGATACACACATAATTTCAGAGACGATCCTCCTAGTGTCTTGTAGAAAACTAGCTTTGTACTGCTTCTGGGACAGTGACAAAGATTTTCATGTGCTAGGATCACCTGCGTTGGATTAAATGGATTCCAAACTGCAAGAGCATAATAAAGATTCCAAGTAATTTTTTCTGTATGTCTAGCTTTTCTCATCTGCGCTGGTGTCTTCACACACTGATAATGAGAGTCTTGGAGGTTTTTCCATTGAAGATGTACAGAAAGAAATAAAAAGAGGCACAAAACTGGTAAGTTAGCATTACTGGTAGTAATAGAATTTAAAAATGGAATTTTCTAAGAATGTTCATTGTTAAAACCTTGTCTTTGTAGTCCTTGCACAAACCTTTCCCAATCCGAACAATAAAACAGTAGAACTATATGTGTAGAGATCCAGTCATGTGGAAGAAATGGATATTTATGCTGTTTTTCTGCTCGGTAGTAGCTCTGCAGCTACTTTTAAAATGATTGGGTATGTTATCATATGGTTAACAAAACAGAACATTCCTGACCAGACATTTCCTTGAGTAATCAGATCATTCCGAAAAGGATAGATTGTTTTATTTTAAACTTTTATATGCTGCTAATTTGTACCTAGAACTCTAGGTGGCTTACACATTTTTATATGTGATAATCCCCCCAAGCCCTCTAAAAGGCACAGGTAAAAAGAAATGTTTCAAGTTGTACCAAGGAAGGTGCAAGCTTTAGCTCTTCCACTATGTTGCTCCAAAGTCTAGTCCCCCCACAAAAAAGGCATGATTAAAGGTTGATGTTAAGTATGTCTGTGGTGGATCTGCAAATTAGGACTCGTTGGAGATCTATGAATGTGGGGCAGACTGTATAGATAAAGGCAGTCTTGAAAGTAATTGGGTTCAAGCCACCTGAGATTTTATAGAATTAGTTTATCAGCAGACTCCAATAAAAGCCTCCCATTGCCACTAATGTAATATGACTATTCATGTCATTGTTGGCTTAATTAAGCAGCGCGCTAATTCTGCAGTAGTCAGATCTGCAGAACTTCTAATATGTCATGTACTCACATGTGGCGATACTGCAGATGTAGTGCGTGATGACTTTGAACACATGAAGCTGTGTGGTCATGCTGGCTAGGAACCCTGACTCGCGGGCCAGAAGTTGAGATTCCTGTAAGTAGAGATGCCAGCAGTCAAATGTGGGACTTCATGCGGACAAGAGTGGTCCTTTGTCCCCTATCAAAAGATTTCAAGCCTTTAAAAAGAGAACATTTGTTTTATTTTGGAACCTGTAGTCTCTTCTAGTAGATGTTGTTAAATCCCTGAAGTGTTTATATGCCCATTATTGGCTCTCTCCAAATCAGTGGTGGCATCTCCAGTAACTCTAGTGATGTAGGGGAACTATTATCTTCAGCTCTATGGAAGGAACCTTGAGAACTGGAGATGGTGATTTGGGTCACTGGCCCATTCAGGACTGATCTGAGAGGAAGCTTAGAAATCCCTGTTTGTGGTCCTTAGTCAGATAGTACCCAGAAGGTTAACTTGTGCCAGACCGTCTGTTTGGTTATCTCTCCCAGCTACTGGGTAGAAGGTCAGCTGTGGAATGTAGCCTGGCTTCTGAAAATGCTCTTCTGCTTTTTATTGGTGTAACTGTAAGTGGAGTCTTTCCCTGCTTGCATTTTAAAATAGCAGTGAAGGGCAGTCCAGGTTATCTCATCTGCTGTCTCTGTGGCTTTTGACAGTAAGACAAGAAGCCCTAATGGGATGTCTTCCTTTTTCTTTCAGAAGTGCTCCCTGTGCCATTGTCCAGGGGCAACAATTGGTTGTGATGTAAAAACCTGCCACAAGACATATCACTATTATTGTGCGTTGCATGATCAAGCACAAATCCGAGAGAAACCTTCACAGGGCATATATATGTGAGTATAACTTGTATGTCTCATTTGTCAAAATAGATTGAAGGGATCCAACACTGTTTTCTTGAATGGTAGCTATCTTGGCTAAAGCCCCAGAATACTTAGGTGACTTGGCTTTCTCTTGTGTTCTACTCCTAGGATATTATGTCGAAAACACAAGAAAGTACCACACAATTCTGAAGGTAAAACCATTCATAGCTTGTTACTGTTCTTAGCTCTCTGGATCAAACATTAATTTTTTCCCCTCCATGACAAACATTAAGACTGGTCATGAAAACATGCATTTCCTTGTATCAATTTAATATTCCTTTATGGAGTGCTCTTCTTCAAATCCTTCAGATGTACTCAGCTATGATTCCTATAATCCCCAGCAACTGAACTGAATTGATTGGGAGCAATGAGAGTTGTAGTCAACCAGTTTTGAGAGCAATGGGTTGTGGAAGAATGCTTGCAAGGAATCTTGAGAGATGTAAGATTAATTTGGTCGGTTTGACAATTTCTAATGTTTGGTTCAGATGTAATGTGGGAAGTGAGCGGAGAGAGGGATGTTGGCGCTAATAGCCCCTCCCTCTAAGTCAGGATGGGTATATAAATTGCTTCCTTTGATTGTTGTAACATTCTTCTTAGGAGCCTTTGGTCTTTTTGATGGTGAAAAGGGGCTGCTGTGTTGAGATGGGGCTCCTTTTTCTTCAGCATTTCTAGTGTGCCTGTAGAATTGCATCATGAGTCAGATAGTTCAAGTTGCTTGTCTCTGTGTTTGTGCCTTTTTCTTTCCAGCAGATTTAGAAGAAGGTCTAAATGAACATGAGTTGGATCCATCTCCTCCAAAAAAGAGGGGACGCAAAGGAAGGCCCAGAAAGACAAGTCTTAAAGGGCAGTCAGAAGATGCTCGATCAACATCTTCACATGGCACAGATGATGTAGAAAGCAGTTCTTATGTAAGGAATTTGTGTGTTTAAAATCCCTTCAAAGAAGTACCAGGCTCTCTTCGTCAGAGGGCTTGCCTAATTGCCTTCTCTAGAAACTGTATTTGTTTCTCTGACATATTATTTTAGAAAAGTCTTTTTCTTTCAGAGAGACAGATCACCCCACAGAAGCAGCCCCAATGATACAAAACCTAAATGTGGATTCTGTCATGCAGGTGAAGAAGAAAATGAAGCTAGAGGGAAGCTTCATATATTCAATGCCAAAAAGGCAGCAGCACATTACAAGTGCATGGTGAGACATATAGCTTTGTCCTCCTTTTCTCTGGTTCTCTGTGTCGTCCTAAATGATGTGTGTGTGGTGACTTTAACAGTCACTTCCTCTTTGCTTGAAGGTCAGGAACAGAGCTTCCCACCCAGCCACCCACAACCATAGAGTGCCACACCAGGCACCATGTTTCATCTATCCTTGCTAGGCTTCCTTGTTATTACACTAACTTTATCATATAGTGAACTGGCTTAGAACATTATGGCTAGTTCAACAAATCATAGTTTGAAAATATGGCTTAGTGTTATGTGTAAGTGCAGGCTGCTTGTCTGAGTCAGTACAAAGCAGGGAATAGGTAAGCAATTATGCTTTTTGGGCATGTGGTAGTCAGCATGTAGCTGTCGTCAGACTGTCTGCTCCAGCTTCCTACCTGTTTCCAAGAAGACTTGGAAGAGGCACTCAAGAGTCCTCCAGTCTTGCATAGCATCTGGCTTATCGCCTCTGACTCTCAGGTTCTTGGCAGTCTTCTCTCTGGATTATTCTCTTTCCCTATTCAAACCTTCTGGGTTGATAGCTGTCCCTAGTGTTGTCTCACCCATGCTCCAGCTGTGAGCATGTTCTTCATGCTCCTGAAGCTTTGTGTCTCTTTCTTCTCAGCTGTTCTCCTCTGGTACTGTGCAACTGACAACAACATCAAGGGCAGAGTTTGGTGATTTTGATATTAAAACTGTACTTCAAGAAATCAAACGAGGAAAGAGAATGGTATGCTCTTTTGGTTTGAAACTTAATTTTCCACCTGTGTTTTGTCTCATGCAAAGATCTGAGTGATACGTATAGGGGGACCCTTTCCCTTTCTTCTCACAGTGAGCACCTGACCAGGGTGACACAGTAACGGCGGTGGTTAGGCAAAGATTCTAGTCTTCCCATCACTCCTGTGCTGGCCTGTAACCTTCAGGTGGGAGGAAAGTGTTCGGGTGCTGTAGCTATCATGCCTTGACTGCCCATATCGGCTTTTAAAGTGTTTTGAATCAGTTGACTTTCCTGCCAGAGGAACTCTGAGAATTGTTACTTCACACAAACATGCTTGTTTTGTCTTTTCCCACAAGATCTCTAGATTGGCCACCCTGCATCTTGTACTGTATGCAATTCAGCCATCATACATAGTAGTTGCTTGACTCTGTCAGGAAATTTTATCCAAACTGTGAACTTTCCAAGAAGTAATTTGAACATGAAGCTGGCTTGCCAGCCCAGCCTTACTTCACCGCCTCATCCTTCTCTCATTTCTATCTTCATGACAGAAGTGTACCCTCTGTAGTCAGTCTGGTGCTACAATTGGATGTGAAATTAAAGCTTGTATCAAGACTTACCATTACCATTGCGGGGTACAAGACAAAGCAAAATACATTGAAAACATGTCACGAGGCATTTACAAGTAAGTGAATTGCACCTCTCCCCTCTGTTCTTTTGATAGCGCGTAGCTACAGTATTATTTTTAAAAAACTTGTAAGCCTAGGACATTGGTAAAAGCTGATGGTGCATTGAATTGGCTGAAGGGGTTTTAAATCAGGAAATATATCCAGGTCAAGGCCTGTAAAACACACTTGCTTGAGATTGTCCTCCATTCGGTTAGGTTAATCAGGAAATAGGCCGCTCTAGGATTGACAGAGGACATGAGACAACGTGTTTCTTGGAGATTGCTCTGCATTTTTGTGACTGCCTTCTAAGTTCAATGTGTGGATATTAACGCAATAAAATCAGTCTTTCCTTCTTTCAAGTGGTTAATTGAACATTTCCCAGGTGGCTGGTGATGAGAACTGGTGCTTATATAGCAGATGCATCATCTCAGTGGAAGCTGAATAGTCTGCAGTTACTTCACTGATGTGTGAACTAGGCCAGGAAATGACTTGGCTGAGATTACAGGGTACCAGGTCAGCCTCTTGGTTAAACTGCCCTAATGCATACTTGGATGGCAGCTGAAGAAGCATTTCCAGTTGTCTGCTGATGGCAGCCCAACCTGTGTTAAGTTTCCACAAAGATTTGAAGGGAGGATTTGGTCCTGTTCAGCCTCAGCCCCGACACTGATATCACCTGCTTCTGTTCCTGGGAAGGGGGGCTCGCTCCCCCGCGTCTGGCTTGCATACATCCTGTGGAATCAAAATCCATGGCTTGACTGCTCTTCGCTACTTTTGGGGCTGACCTGAATAGCTGGCCACAAGGGGGCATTCACTGAACTACGTGGTTGCCAGATCCTCTCTTCAAGCAGAGGTTGATGACTTGGAGGTTTCCCTGAAAGAGGCAGCCTCAAACAAGCCCTAGACCTGCCCTTCCTCTGAGCATCATAGTTAAATTTCCTGGTGGTAATTCAACATAGCCTTGCGTACATTGGGCTTTTAGGGGGTTTTGTGCCCCTCAGATTCCATTATTTCTATCTCTTGGCTGCTTCCCGGAGCCTTGTGTCAGACCTAGCTGGGGATTATAGGAACTGAAGCGTACCACAGCTAGAGGACTGTAGGGGAAAGCTGCCTTATAAAAATATTTGGAGGACATTCCCACTGAATACAGTGGGATTGGTTTTCAAGAAAACATGCCTTATTGGACTGTCAGTATGGTTTAAGTGTCCTTTATTGATTTTCTTTAATCGTGTATTTCCTGTCCCTCGGCCAGACCTACCTTATGGGTTTGTTCTGGAAGTAAACCTGAACACAATAAAATAGTTGCTCTAGTGAGCTTCCTTCTAACTGCTCTTGGCTGAAAATACTGAGAGTTATAGTTCAGCATGTTTGGAATGTCCCAGATTGGAGAAGAAAAATCTTCTATGGGGGAAAATTTTATAGGAAAAATTAACTGATCCAAAATGTTTTGATAAAATCCATATCACTGCAGTACTTATACATAGAAGTGCCTGTGAACTGAAGCAAATATATTAACGCCTAAATAGTTTTTCTTGCTGCTGTGCTCTCCCAGATGTCACAGTTGGTGTCTTGATTATGAGTCTGGATTTTATATATTAAAAGTATTTCTGTGCCGCCTTTCAGGCATACGTTTCCAGGATCGTTTACAGTGGCTCATGAAGCAGTCGAAGCAGTTCTGAGCACTATTGCTATTACTGTACTTAGATTATCATTCCTCTTATTAAATCCCATGAGATCATAGATTTTTGTTTCTTAGATCCTTAAATGACGTCAGCAAACTAGAATTCATTCTCTGCCATTTCTTTTTTCTTCCCATATTATCTTTTCATGCATGTAGGATTATAAATAAAGGGCTAGCCATATTCAATTGATTGCAGGATCTGATAAATTAAAAGAAAATAGTGGATAAAATAAAAAATCTAAGAAGGTACTGGAGAGTACTAAAGGGAAGGTGCTGTCCCTTTGCCCTCTTGCTTCTCTCATGAATTTTAGCACTGAAAAGCAACTGTTAGTGGACATAATCTATAACTTAAGTTCCTTTTTTAAAATCACTTTTAATGTCTTTTTTAAAAACCTGTAAACCGCCTTGAAGAGGTTTTGCCTCAGTGTAAAAATACTTTTAACGGGGATGAATTGATTTTCTGTTGCTTCACGTTTTCCCTAGGCTTTATTGTAAAAACCATAGTGGAAATGACGAACGAGATGAAGAAGATGAGGAGCGAGAAAGTAAAAGCCGTGCAAAGTCGGTAGCTGATCACAGTGCAATTCCTCAGCAGCAGCTCAATGGAAATTAGGTATGAAGCTGTCACCTGCCAGTCCTCCTCCTGAGATACCACTGTACAATTGATGTAGGTGTTGTTAGTGGTAAGACATTTTAAGCTGAGCATATGCCAATAAGTGGTTTTTGTTTTCATTTATTTTTTTTAAAAAAACTGGAGCCCCATGGCACAAAAACAGGGGAGATTTCTCAAATTCATCTAACTCTAAAGAAGACTCCACACATCAATCAATAAATATTGCTATTATGTTCAATTGGTAACATGCTTTTATTCTTGACTATTTTAAAATCTACCTTTCCCTCATCATCTTTTAAGTAGGTTTCAAGTGGCTGAGTTAAACTGGGAATGAATAAGACATCCATAACTACTAACCTTTTTTAATGCTTAGTAACTTTTTTTCTACTGCCTGACTGTTAGAAATGTCCTTGAACTGCCAGAAATGTTCACGTGTATGAGCCTTCAGCAGAGGTTGTTTTACATGTCAATATTATGTAGCTAGTCTGCAGTGCCTGGAGAAACACAGAGAGAGAGAGAAACATGATATAAATGAGATGTAACTTGTACAATGTCAAAGCTGTGGCAGATGTTGTAAAAGTAAATTCTGTTCCTGGACCGAATGAAATTTCTCAGATTTGGGATATGTTCAGTGGCTTTGTGAATGCAGTGCTGTCAGAAGTTTTACTTACAAATTGGACATGCCTGTTTTAATAGCCCGGCTGTAGAACGTGTGCATTTTGCATTTTCCTTCACACGCAAATTATGGAAGCAAACCAGAAGGCAATGAACTGATCCCTCTTGCAAAAGTGCCCAGTGTAGAAAAAATGGTGCCCAGCTCCAGACACCTGCGTTGAGTCTTTTGAGTTGCTCTGGTTGGGAGGATTCTACTGCCTGGAGACTCTCTGGCTGCTGCTGACTGTAAGCTGTGAGATTCGATCATCATGCCAAAAGGCTGTGGTTCATTCTTTCTTTCCCGTCCTTCTCGGCCCTCGCACTCCTCTCCTTTTATTGAAACCCTGTGGCTGGAACAACTGAAAACAAGGAGTTGTCTTCTGGGAGTGTTCATTGCCAGGCCACTTCTCTTAGGTTTCCAAATTACTGCTTAATGCTCACTTTGGAATTTAACCACCTTTATTGGACATCATACCTCAAGTGCTCTGTGCTGTGTAGAACACAAGTTTTGTCCAAAAATATATATATACAGATCCTGTACGCTGTAAGAAGAATGAGAATAAGACACCGAGTCTTGTCTTTTTGTTTTTGTTTTTGAAGTAAGAGGTCAGTATTTATTTTGTGTCTCGTGACCACTATATGAGAATGTTTTGGTATTCGATCAGAGTTTCCTGGCAGATCAGAGAGTGCTGTTAACCTGCAAGGATGGCTGAAATTATGTTAAGTCTTAACATCCCAGTTTTGACGTCATAGAATCCTGGTATTTCTAGTAATTGCTTCAAGTGGATTGGTTGAACCTATTCTAAAAACAAAGTTATACTTGTTAGCAAACTGCCAAGTTCACACTTCAGATATTTTTCTTATCTCTCAAATGTCAGACTAAGGCAGCAGATTGGAATATGCTGACAGTTGGATGGAAAGCTGAGAAGATTCACTAGCAGTTGACACTGCAAAAAAACTTTTTGTGATATCTTTGTTTATGAAGTCTTGTTTATTTTTTTTATTTTTAACCTTTTGTCTGCTTTTTTTAAAATGCATTTCATTGTCTTGAGGGACTCAACTATTGTGTATAAGAACTTCTAAGACTCTCAAGTTGGAATTCAATCCATTTGGGTTTGAAAACTTCCTGGAAGAATGCAGTTTAGTAGAAGAGTTGTGTATAAAAATAAATCTGTTAATTGCTCTTATGCCATTGACCATTTTTTTATTTTGTAATGTAACTTTCAAAATTAAAGGCGCAACTTGTACTGAAATAGATTTTTTAGCAGGCTGTACAGTTTTTCAAAAGCATGGGTTGTGTTCTGTTTTTTAAATGTCCTATAACTATATCAGAATATTTAACAGAATATGTTGGTCAAGGGGTTAATTCTTAGGTACCATTTTAAGGATCTGTGGCAAATTACAGCTGGTTGAGAATAAATATGGTTAATGTTATGCTATTCCAAACATTTAAAAAATATTTTGATGGTGCTAAAGTAGATCTAATAGGAATATTCATTTGGATGTGGTACTTTGATCAACTTAGTCGGACACTTCTTCAGGCACTAGAAAAGGAAAACAACCTTTCAAAGTCAGAGCTGGTATACATTCTTTACATGTCATCTGAAGAACATTTTAATTGGCAACAATTCCTACTGGCAGATTGAACAGTTTACCCTTAAAACCCACATCAAGTATGGCATGGTTGAGATTACCTTTCCCCATGGTTTGGGGGGTCTTAGCTAAGTAATGTCATAGTTTGACATTTGCCCTGAAAAGCAGTCTTTTTAACTTGCTGCCTTTCAGCTGAGTACAGCATTATGGGAGTTTTGGTCTGTACAGGGTACTGCGTCTCCGCAGTGGGTATAGGTAGTAACTCCCCCACAGGAGCTATTTTGTTCACCTACAGTCTTCTGCCCCCTTCACAAGTGCAGTAACAGATATAATAACAAAGCTAAAAAGATCCACATGGAAATAAAGGATATATGATAGTAATGTAAGATAATAACAAATTAAGCTTCAGCAGTTCTAGCTTCCTAAATTTGCAAAACAACCTGAAAGAACCACCAAGGTTGAGCCAGCTTTCATCATTTTTATTTTAGTATCACTGTATTGACATCTCATCCCCTATCGGTAACTGTGTTTTGTAATATCTTGCTTGAGGAAAAGATCTAGAAAGCTTGCACATTTTTCTGAGTTTTAAGTTAGCCTAATAAAAGTAGTGTGCTAATATTGTACAGTATGTGGAGAATGAATACACTGACCTGTTCAGTGTGAAGATTTTGTATTTCTTTTGCAGGATCTTAGTACTCTCCTTTCATATTGATTTCTCAGACATCTATACCTTCTTCTTTGATTCACATGCTTAAAGCCACAGCGGGAGTTCCAATTTTCATTCCACTTATTTAAAAGGACTAGTCAGAACTAGATGGCAGAACGTTCTTGCTTTCCTGGATGTGAAGACTGTAAACCTTCATTGTAACTTCCTGTTTAATTCTGATATGCACAAGAAAAGCTGACAGCTGTGGAAAATGTGTCTTATGGACTTGGTTAAAAATAGGACGAAGTTATATATGCTGTTTCAATGGGAAATTCTGTTTCCAGTCTTATTTCAATCTGCAGTAGCTTTCCACATTGCAAAGTTCATAAAAGGGCAGTATGTTGAAATATCTGATTCCATTATTTGCCTGAAACAATGTTAGAATTTAACCACTGATATGTTGCCTTTAAAACAAAAGCAGCCTTTCACAATAATAGGTGTTATAACTCTGCTTTCTATGTCCCTCTGAGCAGACTAAAGTTGTGAGAATTAAAGGCACAACTCCCACCCTAAATTGTGAGGGTCATCTTGTTGTCCTAGGACTGACTGAGTTGATTACATGCAGTTGCCATCTTCAGCAGACTGTGCTTTTAAGACCATGGAAAACACTATTTCCCTTCAAACTTACTGCTAGCAAATCATTGCTGAGGGTGCAGTGAGGACAGACTCCTACATGTATAGCCTAAAACTCAAAAGAGGAAAAGATGCAATGAAAATGTAATTTAAATATTAATCATTTGCAGCCATAAAGAAAACCTTTGTAAGTAAATTCTGTTGCATTGAGAAGAGAGGTTCTGTTTTAGCCCATTGCCTGTTGTATTTTTTTTTTTTTTTGCAGGGAATTTTCTACAGGCAGGTTTGGAAAGGATATTGTATATTCTGCCATGTTATTCTCATCAACTCCTGCTGTTGTAAATTGGGCCTTATTTCCATCATGCTTTCCTGGACTGGGGTCACAGCAACTGTGTCAGAGCGTAGCTTCTCCTCAACAGCATTTTTGCTTCTAGGACAAAAGAGCCCAACAGAAAAACAGAAGTTAGTCTACTCACTTTGCAGGCTTTACTCTTATTTCCCACCAAGTCTTCAGTACTATTGTAAATATTTATTCCTACAGTGCCATCAGTGTGTATGGTCCTTAGAAGTATAAAAAAGTAGTCCCTGCTTCTAACAAGTTTATTATGTGAAATTTATCTGAGAGACAAGACATTAAGGGAAAGAAAGTGGGGCAGAAGATCCTGCTTGTAAGGCATGTGTTGTAATTTTGTGCTCACTTGAAATATACCATACTAAACATGGCAAGATTTATTTCTGACCAAATGATAGTGTTGCACTTGTTTCAAAAGCACCTGTAATTCTTGGCTATGCCTAAAAAAGCTCTTTAGTTCTGCTTGGAGTTTTTGTTGCAGTTTTAAACAGGATTAGAACTAATCCAAGTTTTATTTTAAATGCAGTAATAGGCATACAAGGAAAAGTGGCTTTTCTGGGGTTCAGACTACAGTCTTTCCTTTCCCTTCATTTCTCTGGCAAAACAGCTTTCTCTCTTTTGAAAGCACATGATGTGTCTTCATGCTCCAAACAATTCCATATTTCTTTGAATTGTCAGCCACACTAGCATATGGCTTCACTCTTGAAACATAAGAGGCGTGTTCTGTTCAATATCGTATAGAGGCCAACCTCACTGTCATTTTTGTTCTTTAGAATGCACAGAAGCAGTGATGATACTGAAGTTTATTACATTTCTGATCTCCCAATAAGCAATGTTTTATAAGCAGTAGGTAGAGAACAAAGAAGAAGAAAGATACAGCAGATAACACTGAAGATAAATCCAGTAGCAAAGATAAAACAACTTTAATGTTCTAAAATCTTACAGTAGTTGCTAAAATATATTAGAAAACAAAAGGGTAATGATCCAGCACATCTGGTGATGATGTAAGTATCAATGAGTAATTTGAAGGATATCACCATGTCTTACTTCTTTTAATAGAGGCATCTGGAAGAAAACCTTGGGTAAATATGACAGATGTTCCTTCAAGTAGCCAGGCCCTTATGCCAAGTAGGGCTGTAAAGGGAGATAGAAGCTGGCTTCTCTAGATTCTGCACTCACTTGATTAACAGTCTTGCAGCAAGCTCTTTCTAGGTTCAATTTGGAAGGATGGTAGGATTCACCCTACTGTATATTAACGGCCTTGAATTCAGCCATTACCAATCAACCATTGGTACAAGAAACACAGATAATATTTAACAAACCACACTTGTCCTACCTGCTGAACAAAGGACAGAAGTCACAGTTCCTGATCAATGGTCTTTGCAGCCTACAGGTGTTCTCCCAAGTGTGTCCAAATTAGCATATGCCAAGAGAACCATAGCAACGTGTGCAACTCTCACCAACAGTTTCTGTAAGGATAAAACGACAAAAGGTGGTGTAAACGAGAGGTCAACTTTCTTTCATAAAGAAGTAAAGTTTTGTTTAACATATTTTTTGTTAATAAAAAAAATGGTACTCTGTATTCTCAGGTATCGGCCATTCAGGAGAGCAACACAAAAGATAAAAAAGCCCAAGAATGCTAGCTTTGGGAGGATTTCTTCTGACTGCTCCCTACCAATCTCAGAGGAAATAGCCCTCTGTTCAGTTAGACCGCTAGTCTACCTTGCTGGAACAGACTTGAAACCAATGTCCACATGAAACAGATTTTAGGTCTTATATCTCAGATCTTACTACATGGTTTCCTAGTCTGGAACTGAGAATGGCAAAGAGGAAAAGACAGCAAACTTCCATCACTTTAGACATCTAGCTGTCCTCCAGATGTGCACTATTTAACAGCTCTTCAAATCTCCAGCCAATGTGGTAATTGCTAAGAACTAAGGGAATTGCATATACGTAGTAGGGTGTCCAAAACTGGGGGAGGCTGGTCCAAGGAACTGGATATCCCAACATAATTTCTGGGCTTTGATGCTGAAAAGAATGGCTTCTTGGAAATTGGAGTGGGCCAGGTCAAGGAAGACCATGGCTGATTTATTTAAATGTTAAACAACTACCCTCCCTCCTTGGAAGCAATACAGTAAAATAAACCAAAAAACTAAAAACATATGAAATCTTACAAACTATGGGGCAGAGTGAAACACCCAGGCCTGTACGGAAAGGGAAGAAATAAGTCGCCTTTAGGGATTTTGTCTTCTGAGGGGGAAAAGAGGGCCAAGCTCTGCACCGCTAGTGGTACTTGCACACATCCCATGCCAAACCTCCAGCTTATCTGTCTGCAGTTCGCCAGGAGTGGGGAAAGCCCAACCAGCCCAGTTGATCAACTGGCTTCCCTCCAAAGAGCCCTGGCTGTGTCTTAAACCAGGTTTTTGCATTTGCGCAAAGGGATCTTAGCTTTGGTTGCTAGCGGGGTGGGTGGGTGTGTCCTGTGTTGTGAAAACCCATTTCTTTCCACAAGGGTTCAGTCTTTTGTGCGGACCCCAGATGTGGGTCAATTCTGCACCCAGCCCAGTGGCCTCTGCTCCCCTTCCCATTGTAGTCTGGCACAGACTTGGGCATTTCAGGCTGTGGAAGTGTGGCTGGGCTTAAGCCATGATTATTTGGACCCTGTGTGGGCTCGCGCCTCACTTGCACTTCCACATTGCCTTAAAACCATAACAGAGTTTCTTAGCATGCAGTATTAACCCGCCCAATTGGGCGGGGGGGGGCACGTTATTTTACAAATCCTGCCTAGGGAAACCATAGCTTAGTGTAATGTTTCTTCCGGGAGTTGAAGTCCGCCCATCTTCAAGTAGTTTGGAGCTCCAGGCTTTGTAGGAACATGAGCACCTGGGCTACCTCAGTTAACCAGGGTTTAGTGAAGGAGTGGCAAGAGGCACCAATCCAGCCAGTCCCTCTTATACTGTGGTAGTAATTATTATTACTCGTGAGAGATTTGGGGGTTCTCGCTAACTCTCCCCTAAGCCCTGGGAGGGAGCAAGAGGCCCAGAACACGATGAGGATGGTTGGTCGCACAGTCAGCCAGATGTTTAGACAGATTTGGCATTTTTGCCCACCTGTTGAGTCCTTCCCAAGGACCTGGGGCAGGCAGATGTTTGATAAGATTCAAGCTATGGCGGCAGGGTGTGAGTTGTTCCAGGTACAGCTGCCTTTTGCAGTGGACCGGTTTTGCCAGCGCCGATGCTCTCCCAGTGGTGCTCCAGGTGTTCTGAGTTGCGCCCACGGCGCCTATTGCTATTGGCACGATCTCTGTTGCTGCTGCGGTCGTCGTTGTCAAGCCAGACTGGGGGGCTGCCCCCCCCAGACGCTGATTGCCTGAGGTAACGGTTCGGCGGGAGGCGCCAAAGCCCAGCTCCTCACGGTTACTTCCCATTATTGCTCCTATTCCCCCGTAGTTGGTAAGCCGGACCGGGGGCTGCCTCCCCCAGACGCTGATTGCCTGAGGTAACGGTTCGGCGGGAGGCGCCAAAGCCCAGCTCCTCACGGTTACTTCCCATTATTGCTCCTATTACCCCGTAGTTGTTAAGCCGGACCGGGGGCTGCCTCCCCCAGACGCTGGTTGCCTGAGGTAACGGTTCGGCGGGAGGCGCCAAAGCCCAGCTCCTCACGGTTACTTCCCATTATTGCTCCTATTACCCCGTAGTTGTTAAGCCGGACCGGGGGCTGCCTCCCCCAGACGCT